ATGGCAGGGCGCGGACCGCGTACAAGAATAATAAGGGACAGTAGCCTAATGGCAGGGCGCGGACCGCGAACAACAATAATAAGCGACAGTAGCCTAATGGCAGGGCGCGGACCGCGAACAAGAATAATAAGCAACAGTAGCCTAATGGCAGGGAACGGACCGCGAACAACAATAATAAGCGACAGTAGCCTAATGGCAGGGCGCGGACCGCGTACAAGAATAATAAGCGACAGTAGCCTAATGGCAGGGCGCGGACCGCGAACAACAATAATAAGCGACAGTAGCCTAATGGCAGGGCGCGGACCGCGAACAAGAATAATAAGCAACAGTAGCCTAATGGCAGGGCGCGGACCGCGAACAAGAATAATAAGCGACAGTAGCCTAATGGCAGGGCGCGGACCGCGAACAAGAATAATAAGCGACAGTAGCCTAATGGCAGGGCGCGTACAGCGAAAAAGAATAAAAAGCGACAGTAGACTAATGCCAGGGCGCGGACCGCGAACAAGAATAATAAGCGACAGTAGCCTCAATGGCAGGGCGCGGACCGCGAAGCAAGAATAATAAGCGACAGTAGCCTAATGGCAGGGCGCGGACTGCGAACAAGAATAATAAGCGACAGTAGCCTAATGGCAGGGACGGACCGCGTACAAGAATAATAAGCGACAGTAGCCTAATGGCAGGGCGCGAACCGCGAACAACAATAATAAGCGACAGTAGCCTAATGGCAGGGCGCGGACCGCGTACAAGAATAATAAGCGACAGTAGTCTAAAGGCAGGGCGCGGACCGCGAACAACAATAATAAGCGACAGTAGCCTAATGGCAGGGCGCGGACCGCGTACAAGAATAATAAGCGACAGTAGCCTAATGGCAGGGCACGGACCGCGTACAAGAATAATAAGCGGCAGTAGCCTAATGGCAGGGCGCAGACCGCGAACAACAATAATAAGCGACAGTAGCCTAATGGCAGGGCGCGGACCGCGAACAACAATAATAAGCGACAGTAGCCTAATGGCAGGGCGCGGACCGCGAACAACAATAATAAGCGACAGTAGCCTAATGGCAGGGCGCGGACCGCGAACAAGAATAATAAGCGACAGTAGCTTAATGGCAGGGCGCGGACCGCGAACAACAATAATAAGCGACAGTAGCCTAATGGCAGGGCGCGGACCGCGAACAAGAATAATAAGCAACAGTAGCCTAATGGCAGGGCGCGGACCGCGAACAAGAATAATAAGCGACAGTAGCCTAATGGCAGGGCGCGGACCGCGAACAACAATAATAAGCGACAGTAGCCTAATGGCAGGGCGCGGACCGCGAACAAGAATAATAAGCAACAGTGGCCTAATGGCAGGGCGCGGACCGCGAACAAGAATAATAAGCGACAGTAGCCTAATGGCAGGGCGCGGACCGCGAACAAGAATAATAAGCGACAGTAGCCTAATGGCAGGGCGCGGACCGCGAACAAGAATAATAAGCGATAGTAGCCTAATGGCAGGGCACGGACCGCGAACAACAATAATAAGCGACAGTAGCCTAATGGCAGGGCGCGGATCGCGAACAAGAATAATAAGCGACAGTAGCCTAATGGCAGGGCACGGACCGCGTACAAGAATAATAAGCGACAGTAGCCTAATGGCAGGGCGCGGACCGCGAACTCAAAAAGGTCGTGGCTTCGAATCCGCCACTCGACTACTGGCGTGAACCACTCGTAACACAAGCAATTTAAGCTTACCACGAGTGGTTAAGGGGAATGTTAGCAATGTTTATAGCATTGTAAATATTCTTTAAAAAAAAGAATAGCATATTTTTAATTATTTTTAAAGAAAATGCGCTAGAATTGTATCTTTCCGAAACCACCATCAAACAAGCTATTTTTAAGTTTGTTGTACAAAACTGTCCCATACATTTTTTTCACCACTATAGGTTAAAGTAAGGCGATAAGAAAATTGTTCAGTGAAAAATATTTAAAAAAATTGTATTTCTTGAACACATTCTTGCTTTTTTAAAGGAAAAAGACTTATCGTTGAGTAGAGTGACTACAAATAACTTGATGAAAAAAATACTAAAAAGAGTTAGAGTAGAAAAGGAATTTTTCATTACGAGATGCTTAAAAATCTAATTCAAGGTAGAGATTTTTCGATATTTTGATAAATTTAGTATAACTGTAAATCCGTAATGTTTCGCAGAACATAATATATTGTGTTGTTTTGGTAGATGTTGACTCAAGCTTTCATCCCCTGCACTATGTCGTACTATTTAATGGACAGCTTCTATATTTTGCGTACGATTGCGAAAATACGCTCATACATCGTATCAAAGGCGATATTGCATAAATACGATTTAAATTAGGCAACACTATCGTGGTTAAGAAGTGTCCGCTTGTAGCGTGCTCGTAACGAATAATCCACGAAATTTTATTAGGAGCTTCATTAGAAGTTTTGCAACAAATATCGATTCTTCTAAATTGATATCAACAAACACACGTAAGTATTTTCGTATTTATCTTGTAATATATAATGTATACATTGAATGCCATTTTTTATTATGCAATTACGATTTTTTAATATGCAAATTTAAAGAACAAAAAAGAGGTTACGGTGCTTTTAGGATTTTAATTATCATGCGTTTTTGTTTCAATCTGCATGCGTTCATTTATTTTATAATTTATGAGACTGGAATACTATCCATATTTTTGTTTTTATGTTTCGTATTTTTTGAGTATGTGAAAATAAACTAGAAAGGTTAATATTTAGCTTAAAGCTTCTCAATTCCTATTTGCACTGATCATAACCCTTTTTGAGTTTTTACCTATTTATTACTTTTGCTCGGTTAACAACTCCACGGCTATATTCTTATTTTATTAATATTTCTTTCACAGTGGTATCATGAGTGACCGTCATAAAACTCATCTAGTTTTCGCTAGTGGTTCCCAGAAGAGGAAATTGCAAAGTGAAAGAATAGTGAAGTTAATATACTTAAAATATCCAAATGGACCAACTACATTTTTTACATTGACAACCAAACAAGGACTTCCGCAAGTTTATGAAAAAAAATAGCAGAAGATTCAGCAGGGGATAGAGATGAGGTCGATAGTAGTCAAGATAATCCAGCTGTTGCATCAGGCAACATCTTAGAATCTTTAAAAACTTGTAATAAAAATCAAGAGGAAGTAGATTTTTAGGGTTTCAAAAATGACATGGCCTGACGTCATAACAGAAGGAATAATCGAATATTGGGTGAAGATAGGTTTCACATAACTGCAAAATTGTGATGAAGTATCTCTGCATAATTCATATATGCATAATCAGTCGCAAGATAATACAAATTTTATTCGGAAATATTCAAAGAACTTTTGGATCACCGAGAAATGGCAATTTTCTGTGTATTTCATTTTGCTAGTCGAGTACGTACCAAGCTTGGCAACTCATTTAAAACAGCATGCAAAGAAAGGGAGCGGTCACGTCAATTACCTTTCCTCTATGATTTACGAAGAACTAACAAGTTCCATGGGTATAGCAAGGTTTAAAAAATGGTATATCAGTGGACTACTCCCCTGATCTACTGAATTTCATATCGATCAGCTTACTATAGTTGTTCGATATATTGAACGATAAGAAGAATTTATTACTTTCTTACCAAACGGCGGCCATTCTGGTGAAGACACAACAAAAGCTTTACTACAATTTTTAGGTGACCATCAATGCTATTCTTGTTTGCCGCAGTCAATTGTACGACAATGCTACTAAAATTAATGGCGAATACAAAGGGATGCAAGCTCTCATTTTGTATAAAATCATCTATCAGCGTTAGTACCATATTATCGTCACTCACTCAACTTAGTTGGAAAGGCAGCTGCCAACTCTTGTGCATCGGCAGTTCACTTCTTTGATTTCGTTCAGAATTTATATACGTTTTTAGAGCAAGTACTCAACAATTCCATATTCTGCCTGAAAATTTTTCGGATAAAAAAGCGGACAGTCATATGTTTTTTAAAAATGTAGTGAAACTCACTCGTCATGTAGAGCTGCAGCTAAGGCAATTGTCATTGGATATTTTGAAATCGGAGAAGCTCTAACCAACCTATCTTATGATAAGGAACAGAAGGATATTGTCAGAAATGAGGTAACACATCTATAGGTAAGATGAGTGATCTCAAAACCACTCTATTTGCCATCTTTTGGAACGATATTTTGGAGCCATTCAACGGAACAAACAAGATTTTGCGGGAAATGTAATGTAAATGCTTCTTGAATTTTTCGTGCTTGCATTGGAGTCGTTAAAATCATTCGTCGAATTCAAATAGAAGATTTTGATTAATACAAAGAAGTGGCTAAAAGTATCAAATACCAGAAAAAGAAGTGTGAAGTTGAATTATTACATGAAAGCCGATTACATGAAAGCCCAAAACTCAAATCTGTCACCTAGAGAAAAATTTAAAGCGTCCGGTTTTATCCCAGTGATTGATCGACTTTATGCTTTTCTCACTGAAAAATTGCATGCATACATAGATGTTTGTTCAAGATTCGGATTTCTCAATCACATAGAGGAGACGCTGCAAATTTGTATTCTGCTGGATAGGAATCGGCAAAAGTCAAAACTAAACCTACTTAGTATTGAAAGTGATTTACTCTGGGAATTAGATTTCGGTGAAATCATCAACGACTGTTCATCGATAAAAGCTCGCAAAGTTTCATTTAGTTAACGCAACTACGTTAGTAATTCAGTTTTTAAGAAATTGTATTTGATTTGTTATATATTATTGTAACTTATTACTATATTATTTGTTGGAATAATTTTATTTCTTGCCAATAATTGTTTCAAAGACTTGACGAAAAATAAATAAATAAAATAAACATAGATATATTGTAAATATTTCCTTTATTTGCATACTAGATGGTAGAATATAGAGAAGCGTTTAACATTTTTATACTAACCGCATAACCCATACTTGCTATAAATACAAACGATTTTGATTTTAAATTTTTATTCGGAAATTAATATGGGACATCCAAATACCGGCTTTGGAACGGCAGATGATCCACTTAGGTCACAGATTAGGTAATCTGTGGCTTAGGTGCACGGAGCTTCTATAGAATATAATATATAAATGTGTCATACGGAAACTTCTATACGTTGATTTGGGTTTTGGATATGTTCATATCATTTTTTTTTTATAAAATAAGGGTGATATATGAGCACACTGTCCACCTGGTTGTAAGTGGATGCTGTGGCCTAAAGTCATGTATGCTGATGCGTTGTCACCCCTGAGGACTAAAATGGAATGCTTGGTTTACAGTAAAAATCGTCTTTATACTGCGTTCATTGTGGCACTATGACGACATCGACGAATTTCAGTTGAGTATTTTTCCAGTCAGTTTGACTGTGCCAGTAAGTAGTTTTGTAACTGCGTTGATGAAATACTTAAACATTTCTTTATAAAATATTTTTGAGAACTTATTTCGAGCCATGTTATTCGATTTTTCATTTCACGCATCCGATCTTCTTTACTGTACAGATCATCAGGATCTCACCCAACCAGAAAAGGGTCCACCCAACTTTTGTTAACATTATCCCCACTATATGACATAATTGTAACGCGCATAGTTAAAGCTTTATTAAAATATTTTTAAATCATTAATTAAAAAAAAACCACAGATAAAAACTATGTAGGTACTGCAGAAAAGTTCGCAATGAATTTAATAGGCCAAAAATAATGAAAAAAAAGTATATCAAAATCTCTGTACTTGATATATTTATTAAAACGTCAATTCACTAGTCAAAAATTTGCCGTGTATTATTAACTTATATTTTCGAGTGTTTTAATTAAACTAAATTCAATGTATCTCAATAATTAAGGTAAAGTATTTTATCTACAGTAACTAGCAAATAGTTCCAGACCTATTTTATATATTATTATTTAATATAACAAAACTTAAAACAATCAATCCTAGTTGCCGTTTTATTTTCTTTTGTTGTTGATACAAATAAATACGACTAAAGGTTGTTGCCAACTAAAACGTTTTATATACCGTGTTTTACCGTAATCATAGAATAAATAATAGCTGTAATCGTTTCGGCACATGGCAAAAATATTCTTTGTTAATTGAACAAAGAATATTTATTATATGCATATATGCAGTGATGCCTACATTGCCGTTCCGTCACAGACCGACATCGTAGCGTGCCATTACTGTCTCGTTAGTGTAGTGATCATAAACATGTAGTCCTGGGTTCAAATCAAAAGGGTTGATTTTCTGTCAAGAAAATCTCACTAGCAGCCCGAAGTCAAGAATTTGGCGGTCAGAACACACGGTCAGAATTGTTAATAAAATTATAAAGGATCACGAAGGTCGCCTAATTTTCTTATTAAAATAACTATTATAAAAGAAAAATACATTTAGGAAAATATGCTCTGCTTATGAAATAATGAAATTTGTGAGAAAAGTTTATTTTTATCAAACAACGTTATCCCCGTGTAGTGTTTCTACAGTTTACAAAATGAGTGCGCGACGAGATATAATGGAAAGTTATTGTGCGAAACAAACCCTAATAAAAGTGGTTTTAACACTGATTTTATTGTTCAAGTGACCTAAATTAATAAGTCATGCATGTTTTGCTTAATACTGTGCGGTAACCCGTACACCCCGATACTACTTTATCTTGTATCATGAGGGCGTTTTAAATATATAAATAGCACATAGACAAATATCTAGAACAGAAAGGATCATTTATAGGCCTTGACTTGTTCCGTGAGAGATTCGAACCCGCGGCCCGCACAGTAACGGCTAAATGCTTAGCCACTGTGCTACCGAGCCATATTTTATTCGTATGCGTGAATTACAATGATCAGTGTAACCTTAGAACCTTAGGTATAAGCCAAAACCTGATTAACGATTTTCGTTTGCCCTAATATAATGATATATGTATAATACAACAACATAGAATTGAAGAAAACTGAACTATAAACTGTAAAATGTGTTGTAATGTTTCTCTTATGACATTTATTAAATTTATAATGTTTTTATGATTTATTGGCAGAGTTATCTGGTGCCTATTTATAACGTTATACGGATTAAAAAATATTTTTTATCTAGATCTAGTTCATCATTCAATACGTATGTTCTGCAGATAACATAAATTGATAAAATGTGTCAGTAGGTTATACTAAAATATGAAATTACTTTATTCTATTTTTTAAGTTATGACTTGTACTAAAGTGTTTTCTTTTTTGTTGAGCTAATCTAATTTATTTTTTTATTTTTTGTTTGTAGAATATCTATTTATAAATGGAAACTGGTATAAGAATTAAGTTTAAACCTTTAATAAAAACAGTCCATCAAAACAATTCAAGATGCACTTTAGAAATAATTCCTGAACTAACTGTTCTAGAAAACATTGAAAACATAAATTGGAACAATGAAAATGGCTTTATTGAATATATAGTCCCAATAAAATACAAAATCATACTTAAAAAAATGGCGTCAACGATTACCAATGAATATGAAAACAAAATATACTATTCTTGTGTTGATTTGTTACATAGCTCATCTAAAAATAATTTTGACTTAGGTTCAGGTGATGTTTCAAGAATAATAAGTGATAACATTATATTAAGAAATTATACTTTTGAAAATAAAGATAAAAATCAAAGTGAAATTACTGTAAGAAAAGACCATACGTTTATTTTTAGAAAAGACAATAAAGTAGATGAAAATAAGAATACAAAGAGTATAAGTAATGAAACAGTAAAAGGAACTTGTAAAAACAAATATCGAGAGAATAAATTTACTGACTTAAGCGATTATATCACCAAATGTGAAAGAAGTCTCGATGTCACAGGTATTTTTTTTTATTAAATCTATTTATATCAAAGGAGGATTGTAATGTTAACTGAAATCTTACAAACGTTAAAACCATGTGTTATGGTATCTCTATATACTCATTACTAATTAAATAATTACCACTATATTGTTACGGTCTCTGTATGTGGTAAAGAAATAATAAAAAAGAATCAACCGCTAAAATTCTCTGCAAACAGATTATTTATTTATTTTCTTTTTGTTGCAGTTACTAACTCTTTTAATTTTAAAATAAAAACAAGTGAAAAACACATTAAGGGCAATATAGTAAAAGATAATAAAGGAGAATTAAATGAAATAATTAATGACAACCATATTATAAACTCACAGCCTGAAGAGGTTTCGATTAGAAATTCACAATCAAAGTTAACGTTAAGTCCTGTTTCACTATATAATAACGTTAAACCACTGTTAAAGACTGTATATCAGAATACAACATTTTATAATCCTAATATTTGTTTCATTGTTGATAAGGAGGAATCGATACAGAAAAATAATATCGGAATTATACACGCAAACATTTTAAACAACTTTATAGATAATGCAATAACTAAAGCAAATTGTAAAGCAACTAAAAACCCGAGGCTTAAGTCAAAACTTGGCGTTTTACATGCTTTACGAATAAATTATTACATTCAAGTAATGGAAAAAGAAATTTTACCCCTAAAGATACTGTTGAATGACATTATAAATAAATGTAATGTTTTGGGGTTGTCTCTTGAAACAAAATTATTACAAAAACCCATTCCTAATCCAAATAATACAATGTTATACAAAGAAAATGAGTTCGCTTCTAACAGAGTTGTATATTCAGTGGTGTTCAATAAATAATATATACGTGTTTTTTGTTTTAGTTTTTATTAAAATTGTAAACTTGCCTCACCACCAACCTGTAAAACTTTTCTAATATATTAATAATGATTTACCTTTTAATGATAATTTACCATTGTTACCATAACATAATTATAGGCCCTGGACACTTTCATCTATATCATTATCGCGCATTACAAGTCCACAGCTGAATATAGGCCTTGCCAATTTATGCTGCAAATACTGTGCTTTAAGCCATTTGCATCCTTCAACTTGCTGCATTTTTACCAGGTCGTCACTACATCTAGTTGGGGATCTACACTTCGCTTATAGGTATGGGACTACCATTCGATAACCTTTCTTCGCATAAACATTTTGAGTGATAATATATTTATCAAAAACATCACAGTCACTAGAGTAAACTATGAATTACCTATTTGGAAACAAATTGACTGCTTTATTGCCGTAGTGGTCGTAAACGCGACTGCTGACCTCGGGCCTCTGCTGCGGCCTCGGGGTCAAATCCCGGGCCGTCCCAGAAATTAGTTTTTCTGTCAAGAATTTCTCAGTAGTTGCGCGGAGTCAAGAATTTGGCGGCGTTTGCCCTAAGCCTCGAAAAACAAAACACATTGGTCCTATGCCTGATCTCTCTCCGGTATGGTCTGATTACCATCCCACTGGACTCGACCTGCCCTGCGAACATGGCGAGTCTTCGCTGCAACTGGCCGTAATGACCGAAATTAGGTCTGGAGGACATTATAAAATATACAATATAAAATGAGATTAATCGAAACATTGTTTCATTTAAAAATACCTTAAAAATATGAATAGTATCGCGTCTTGTCGAAATCCCACCATTTAATGGAATTTAAGTTAACTAGTACGAATGAGTAGTCATTTTTTGTGGTAGCCACAAAGTTACTAGAGTCGTTTAATGATTCTTTGATATTTTTTCAAATTATTATCAATTTAAATATTATGATTGGTCTTTATCAAACGATATAACGATAAGTTTTTTGTCACCCAAATACTAAACCTATTAATTGTATTTATTACCATTATATTAGGTCTTTACCTATGAAATTGCCGTTTTTTTTTTTAAATAAGTTAATGTAATTTTTTTCTATACTTTTTATTTATATTAATCAAAGTAACCACCCATGCAATCGATGTATCTTTGCGAACGCAGTGGCAGTTTATGAATATGATAAAAGATACCCGTTTTTGAAGAAATCAGCTGGACGGGAGGCAACAAATTCTTCAAACATATTTTGTACTGCCTCTCGGGTATTGAATTTATTTCCCGCCAAAAAGTTATCCAAATTCTGGAAGAAGTAGAAGTTTGTAGGCACAAGGTCTGGTAAGTACAGCGGACGACGGAGAGCTTCCAATCCCAGCTCTTGTAAGTTGGAGACCGTCTGTTGTGAGTATACAACAAAGAACGGGACGAGCGATTGACGAAAGCTGTTTGGAGACGTTGTAGCTTCTCCATCATTGTACTTAGTTCTTCACAGTACACATCTGCAGTAATGCTCATCCCGTTTGGTAAGAAGCTGTGATGAATCATACCGGCGCTAGACCACCAAACAGTGACCATCACTTTTCTAGGAGTAAGTTTTCCTTTGGGGTATTGTTTAAGTGCTGAACCAGGATCCCACCAACTTGCTGAGCGCTTGCAATTGTCAAACAGAATCCATTTTGCGGTTTCTCGTTTGTGCGTCTGTTGAGTGGGTCTCATTTGTCAAGCTCTTATACCTTGCCAATTTGTCACAAATGGACCAATATTGTTTTGATGCTAACGTTGACTGTTGCTAATTCAGCCATATTTTGAATATCATCAGCTTTCACAATAGCCTTTAATTCGTCATTGCCTTCCAAAGTTTTCGGACGACCACGGAGTTAATATTTTAATCTCGAAATTTCCATAACGGCAGCGGGCGAACCAATAACTGATGGTGCGTTCATTTGTAGTATTCGCTCCGTAAACAACATTAAGCTTGCGTGTCGCTAGTGCCGCGTTGCTGCCACGACGGTACTCATATTACATAATTACTCGAATTATTAACGTATCCATGATAACGAAAGAGATTCAAATGCGTTGAAAACATAACGCTGATCAATAAACAAATGATTGAAATTTTGATTTCCACGTTTATTAAACAAAATAAATTTGAAATTATAATTCTCAGCGAAACAAAAATTATTTTGATTTGAAATGTCCAGTTCTGCTTAACGGCATTTTCATAGGTAAAGCCCTGTTACATACCCGTTAATAAAACTTTTTGTTTAATTTTCTAATATTGTTATATATACTTAGGTAATGTTTTTTCGCTTTATAGTAAGTAAGTATTTGTAACAACTGACGTGGGTAATAACACCACATGTGTTTTTCGTGTTTTCAGAGTAACTTAAAATAAACGTAATGATAACTTTAAGAATGAATGAAGTACATTAGACATTCACATTTTATTATTAACAAAGGATTCATAATTAATAAAGTACATGAATCGTGCCCATTAAGAAACAAAATATGAGGGACCTAGGTTTTGAAGTAGAAGCAGTACCACAAGTGAATAAGGGATCAAGTGCTACAAGCAGCACACCTTTAAATGTAAAAATAAGAATACGGAATAAGAGTCAAAATAAAAATGTACGCCAAGGCATTATATCCATTCCAAAGATAAGTGGACAAGTTTACCCTTGTGAAAAAATTAGACTGAGTAGTAGTGACCAAACAATAATGTCTTTCAATGTTATAATGGAAGAAGATAAAAGTGGGAAACGACCAATGCAAAAGAAAAAACGAATATTCCACATATTTAAACGAGGCATGTTATAACTTTTATGTATTATTAGCTAAAATCCAACCTTAAGAATTCGAGATTCTTCAAAAATACATACACAATTTTTTTTGTAAATGTCGCTATTTTCTGGTAAGAAAAAATAATTTCTGTATTCAGCGATCTTTAATAAATAAATATTATCACTTAAGGCGCTAAAATTGCATATCATTAACAAAATAGAAAATACTGGAATACTCGAGGTAACATATGACTTATGAATCAAAATAAGCCTTTGAACTCTACTTGGTACAAATTTTAAAAATTCTTATAACAAGCCCTTATATTTTAGGGAATTTTTACAACCTGATCGATATGAGAAGTATACCTTCCCGGATGTCACTTACTTCCACAAGACTGCTATGCCATGCTAGATTCAATATTTTTTATAAATCTTAAGATCATCTGTAAAAAGAGTGAAATTACAAAGTTGAATTCGAAAAGCAAAATCAATAATAAAGGTTAAAAATAAACTACTCCCATGTGTTCAGGGATTCCTAACTTCGCGAAACGTGTCCGACACCTATCCCTTCATACCTTGCTCTGAGGATTTTTTGCTAAATATGTATATGTATATAATATTGGATAAGCAAAACAGGGCAGCTTATCACATAAAGACGCCCCGCTATACATCACCTTTCGACAACGCTAGTTTTCGTAAGACTTTTCATTAACAGGAAACAAATATTTTTTTGCTGTGCAGTGGTGACGCAAGAAAATCATTCAAGTCATTTCATGCCGTGAATAGAAACAGGCTCTATGGGTAAAGCAAAAAAGGCCACGAGGCATCCGACTGATTGTGGCATAACCTTATTTAAATAATGATGAAGTACCAGACTGGCGTTTGCAATCACTAGTCCGCCTGCCAATCGTAGCAATTACGTCAAATCCTTCTCAGATTGCGACAGACCTTTATCCTACTATAACGGCCTTTCAAATAAAAAGAAGAAATAACATTAAAGTTGTACCAACAAAAAATTTTTAAGTGGATATTACGTCTTTTTAATGAAGTACTCGTAAGACGCATAAGGCCGTAATTTTTTTGTAATATCATAGCTTTTTGAGCCGTGGTAGCTCAGTGGTTAACGCTCGCTGTAAATATAACAGAACGCGAGTAACCCGGGTTCGATCCCCGCCGACACCAATGAAATTGTTAATTGCAATTTTAAGTGCTGATTTACCACGTGCTTGGCGGTGAAGGAAAACATCGTGAGGAAACCTGCATGTCTGAGGAATAATAAAAAAAATATTTCGAAGACATGTGAAGTTCGTCTACACGCATTTGGGCAGCGCGGCGGACACTTCCTTGCCCTAAACCCTCTCAGAAATGAGGGGAAGCCAGAGCCCAGCAGTGGGACGTATATAGGCTGTAACTTTACTTTACTTTACTTAGCTTTTTGGGATGGAGGCCTATGTTCAGCAGTGGACTTGTGAAGGGCTGCAATGATAATGGCTTTTCAGAATAAATACCTGATTATTTCGTGAGGTTAAAAGTAAAACTATAATCATATTTTAGAATACCTATATAATAAAATTTTAATCTCAGTAATCTAAATCTCTTATCCGACACTATTCCGATGATAGGACGTCAGTCTGAGCGAGATCAGAATGACCGCATCACCTTAAAAACGTTAGAGTACCAGGCGAGGATGGTATTACACGGGAGCTCCTGAAAGCGGGTGGAAAACCGGTACTTGAACTCCTTCAGACGCTCTTTAATTCCGTCCCCTACGGTGGGAATATTTCGGAGGCGTGGAGCAGAAGTGCGGTGGTCTTGTTTTTCAAGAAAGGAGAAAACACTCGCTTCCCTTCCGAGCCCCTTGCTACGTGCTGTTTTCGAGAGTCATTACGAATCGTCTCGCACGCAGACTTAACGTCTTCCAGTCTCCCAAACAAGCCGGTTTCCGAAAAGGATTTAGTACCATAGGTCACGTTGACTGTCGTTTTATCGATCTTGTGGCAGAATCGCTATGCTCGGGGTTTCTCTGCATGACAAACTTAGAAATGAGAATATCCGTAGTAGAGCAAGAGTGATTACCATATAGCTTGAAGAACCAACAGCCAATGGGGAATAAAGGATCTCGACTGGCAGCCTCTAACCGGTAGGTGAAGTGTAGGGCGACGCCCCCCTAAGCAGAGTGACGACCATATCATGTTAAAACATGCAGAAAGTCGGTAGATGCTGCTTAAGCCCGTGCTTTGTGGCATTCATTAGGTGAGACCTATGTTCAGGAATTGTGAAGGTCTCTAAGGATGACGATGAATCTGAATCTGTGTAAATGATTCAGTTTTGAGTTATTGTTAGTAAAGGCACTTAAGGGAAATGTCCAGCATAGACTGGAAGCCGATATAATTACATGTTTATGTGTATATTATGATGTATATGTATACAGGGTGGTCCAAACAGTGAGGTTATAAAATTTTTTTTTTTGATTCCTCACACCTAGGGGTATCCGAAAATACCCTATGTATGTTACGCGATTTTTTGTAGTTTTCGAGTTATGATTTTTTTACCCTTTTTTTGAAAATATTCACCCTAAACAGCTTAACATTAAAAAAATGTAATTGTGAAATTTTTTCCAAGTTTTTTTGTTTGTAGCATGATCCTTACGAGTTGCCCTATTATGCATAAAATAATTAGCTTCCTACCATTCACCGAAGATATAATAATTTTGAACGAAACTTAAAAATTTTCTGTCAGGAGAGTGGGGCTTGAATTTTCAACATTAAATGAAAAATAGTAATAAATGATTTCATACTTTCTAATTAATTTTAAAAACTTTGCAGTACCTTAATCTTTCATAATAACATTAAAAAAAATGACACTTAATAGGCCAGTTTTTCTGTTACAGACTTCTGAAGTTACTCAGGAAGGAAACTACCTAAATAAGGCTAATTTGATTTAAAAAATCTTTTTATCATTTCTAGGGCTAAACTAAGATAGTAAATGCTTCAGGTTAGCAAAGAAAACTACTTATTGTTAAAACGTGACATTTATTAAGGTATCATTTTACTACAAACTACATGTTTTTTTTTATTTCACTGAAACTAAATGATAGCACATTCAGTCACAAACACACAAAGGAATTTTAAACAAAGGCTCAGGTAAACATTCCTGCTTTGCGCTCTATTTTGTTACCAGGCCGCACCCCGCGCCCCGCGCCACACCGACCGCGTCCCTTTTTCACCTCGCTCGGTCCCGCCAGTCATTCACTGCTTTCCCGCGTGCAACCACTACTCACGTTTACGTTTATTTGGATCTCTTATTTGACTACCTTCGCTTTGTTTCCCGGATTCTTGATTTGCCTTACGATTGACCTGTGCTTGTTTTATGAACCTTGAGTTGCTTAGTGATTTGGATTACTTTTAGCAGTGAGTTATTCTCTCAGTCAATACGCAGAGATGCACTATTTCTACGGCGTTTCCCAAGGAAACGGCGCATTAGCGGCACGGCTTTATCGAGAGCAACTAGAGCGGCGAGGAGAAGTGTTAGAGCATTACCCGGGCTACAGGGTTTTTAATAAGACCCACGAAACCCTGATGGCTGGACGCGTTCCTGGGCGTAATCAACGTCGCGAGGGACTACCCAGAGTGGATCCAGAAAGAAGAGATGTAATCATTGAAGAAGTAGAAAGAGACCCTTCTACTAGTTCACGAGCGATTACGAGAAGGACTGGAATCCCAAGGACTTCAGTTTTAAGAATACTGAAATCAGGTGAGTGCATTTTATTATTTTGTAGACCTCTTTATTCAAAATCCCAACACGTTGCTGCACTGCCATTTCAAATCACACTCATTTAATTTACTGTGAATTGTCGATGTCTAATGTGTTGTGTGTGCGTGTAAAAGAGAGAGATGTAGAGACCCTTAAACAAGCGCTCGTAATTCAAAAATAGGCGCTAGGAAGCGACTCTAGCGAATCCCGACTTTTAGTTTCACGTTCACGTGCTCTATGGAGAAATGGTTGGGCCCTTTGAATTGTCGTCTAGGTTGAACGGGTCCCAGTACCTGAATTTTCTACAAAATAATTTAAATGGTTTATTGTTTGAAGTTAATTTACAAACGAGGAGGGATATGATATTTCAAAATGACGGTGCTCCTTGCCATTTTGAAAGACAAGTGAGGGAGCACCTCAACAGAAATTTCCCAGGAAGGTGGATTGGGCGTGCAGGGCCAATCGAATGGCATGCACGCTCACCAGATTTAAACCCTATAGATTTTTTTATTTGGGGATTCTACAAAGAGATGGTGTATGCTAGAAAAATTAATTCGGAAAATGAATTAAGGGAAAAATTGAGACAGTGCGCAGAAAAAATCAAAGAAAATACGAATGCTTTTCGAAGACTAAAAGTAAATTTTTTAAGACGATGTAGACTGTGTATCGAAGTTAATGGCCGCCATTTCGAAAATTTACTTTAAATAAATTTATCTTAAATTATTTACTACTTTTATTATGAATCTTGAAATCATTTGTCCAGAACGTAGTAAAATGATACCTGGTTGTCTATAAATTTTAAACAATAAGTAAAGACACTTGATGTTATTTTTGCTAACCTGAAGCATTTACTATCTTAGTTTAGCCCTAGAAATGATAAAAAGATTTTTTAAATCAAATTAACTATTCAGGTAGTTTCCTGCCTGAGTGACTTCAGAAGAATTTTTTTCTATATTTTTTATTTTTATTAATCAAAGCAGTCATCCATGCAATCAATGAATCTTTACCAACGCAGTGGCTATTTATGAAGACGATGAAAGATGCCCTTCTTAAAGAAATCAGCTGGACAGGGGGCAACAAATTCTTCAATGACACTTTGTACTGCCTCTCGGGTATTGATTTTAGTCCCGTTAAAAAGTTATCCAATTTCTCGAAAAAGTATAAGTCTGTAGGCACAAGGTCTGGTGAGTACGGCGGATGACGGAGAACTTCCAATCTCAGCTCTACTAACTTGGAGACCGCATGTTGGCAGTATAAGTTCGCGCGTTGTCGTGCAGGAGCAGCCGGGATGAGTGATTGACCAAAGCTTGTTGCAGACATTCGAGCTTCTCCACAGTACATATGTGCATTAATGCTCATCTCGTTTGATAAGAAGCTGGGATGAATTACACCGCCGCTGGATCATCACTTCTCTAGGAGTAACTTTTCGTCTCGGGCCTTGTTTAGGTACCAAACCAGGATCCAACCAACATACTGTTGGTTGGTGGTGTACACTAGGTATTGTGCTCAACAGGCGCACACAGACAAGGCACGTTCTGACTCGTACTTTGCGCTGTCGATCATTGAAATCGTGGGGCACTCATTTGTCAAGCTTTTTTACCTTACCAATTTGTCGCAAATGTACCAATATTGTTTTGATGCTAACGTCGAAAACTGCTGTTAATTCAGCCGTAGATTGAGAATCATCTGCTACTACAATCGCCTTTAATTCATCATTGTAGATCAGTCTTCGAACGACCGCGGGGTTCATTTTTCAGGTCAAAATTTCAGGAACGGAAGCGGGCAAATAGGTGGTGCGTTCGTTTAGAGTATTCGCTCCATAAAGGTCGTTGATGCTGCGTGCCGCTTGTGCCGCGTTGCTGCCACAACGGTACTCGTATTCCATAATTACCCGAATTTTTAACGTATTCTTAATGACGAAAAACATTCAAAAATACGCTTATCAATAAACAAATGACTAATTTTGAAAAAATAATTCCATAGCAATAAAATTAATTTGAAGTTACAATTCTCAGTCAAACAAAAATTATTTTGATTTGTAATGGCCAGTGGTGCAGAACTACAATTTCATATGTAAAGCCCTATTATATGTACTGGATTTTCTAAAAATGCTTTATTAATTCAAGTTTGGAGTCGTAAAATGTATTATTATATATTAATATATTTTGCAATTATTTCTTTCATTTTGTGTTTTATATAGGTGGGTGTTTTGGGATTCGGAATGACGACGATGAGGATGAAGAATTCTACACAAAAAGACAATCTTTTGAACTTATCACGACCTTATCAACTAATGCCATGGACAATCAAAATCTTACTTTGACTAAAAACTTAGATAACGCAAAAACACAACAAACGAATAAAATAACACAAAAAGACTTTTTAGGAAAATGTAAACCAGGTAAAACTAGACTAGAACTAGAATATTAATGGTAATATAAAGGTTTAAATTAATTTTGCCTTTATATTTATATAGATTTATTATTTGCAGGGGGTTGTTTAGATCCGCCGTTTGGTGAAGATAAATATTCGTATATTCCGAAATTGATTGATATTTCTGAATCAAAGAAAGATCTTTCAGAAGTAGAAAAAAATAAAGACCAAGACGAAACATCGCTTATAAATATAATAAATGTTAAGGCAGAAGGCGAAAGTGGTTATAATGCAGACTATAAGAAAGAGAATATTAAATCATCATGTCCTGCTGACAGTAATTTTATAAATATAAAAAAATCAAATTCCATCATAACTTATCCATCAACGTCATCGTCTACAGAGCTCTTCAGTACTTCAGATAAAATACATAAAAAAATTAAGAAAGATAGAAAGTCCAAAGACAATGGATTATCAAATTTACCCAATGAATTTATAGAAACATATTACATATCACCAAAGAAAACTAAAAAAACTAACAATTTAGAAGAAAGTAACGGCAATATAGTCAAATTTAATAAAGAAGAAAAATCACCAAAAATTACATTATCACACTTGCACCTGGACATTCAAGATGCAATCACATGCAATCATATGGCTCAAAGTCATGTTCAAAACACATCAACAAGAGTCGATGCAATAGAAGAAATGCAACCAATTTTAAATGTGTCAAAAGTTAAGTTAGATGATCAAGTTAAAATAGGTAACGATATAAATAAATTATCAGGTAAAAGTTTATCACAACCTGATTGTGGCTCTAATAAAAATATTAAAAACATTGAGGCAATAATATGTCATGAAGGAAATTCAAATAACTTGTTGAATTGTACAGCGGTTTCTGCAATAGCTGGTGATACTGTATTCAGAGGTTCAGATTCTAATATCTGTTCCATAATAAATGATACCCCGAATAATAGTTATTTAACCCTTTTAAATAAAGATACAAATGATAGGAATCCACTTGATTATGATACTAAGCAACCATTAAAAGATATTAAAAGTCTATCCATGGATAAAAAACACAGCATCAATAATAATTTTAGAAACATGATTGAGTTTCAAAGTACTGTACTTAAAACCCAAGATAATCATTATGAATGTGACAGGGTCAAAGCTGCCACAAATGAATTGATCTGTATTATAAATAAATCCCAATCTAAAAATACTGAAAATAACTTTAAAACGAAAGCGCTGGTTTCCTTAACTACGGAAGCAATCGAGTCAAATTTATTACCTAAATCGAATAGCGAAACAGAAAACAAAAATCTAGATATTTCTGATACTAAAAAAATTACTTCTGTGACTACATTTATTAGTAAACAAGATAAAATTGAAAGAAGTAAAATAGAAAATGAAATAAGCAATGATATTAGTCCTCAGCCGATAATGCAAGATAAAATTGATTCTAATATAAAAGATTATAAAATGTCATTAAATAAACTTAACACTACTGATTCAAAAAATTCTAAGGATTTACTCATTTCTCCGGTCACAATCGTAAGTCTTATGTTAATTTAACAAACCAGCTTTATTTCTCTACTTCATAATAATATGATATCAACATTGAATGATACACGCAATATCCTGCGAAAGTCCAGTTATTGAGCGCTAAAAATATTATATAGTAGCTTCATAAATATAAAATAATATATTAAAACTATTCAATTTAATTATTTATATTGTAATATAAAAAAAATTGTGCTCACCGACCTACATATAACATACAATATTGGCTATATTGCCTTTGAGCTATTAATTATAGCACAAGAGGAAACTGTTTGTGGAAGTAACTGACGGATCCAAACAGCTGGCTTAAGAGTATCCCTCGCGTTTTCTATCGAGTTTGAGTCAGGTAAGCCGGTAGGCCAATCTAACCTTTTGATGTCGTATCCTCGGAGAGCAGCATTGAGTCATTGAGCTCCATTTGCTGCCGCATTATCATCGACCACTTGAATTGGTGCACATGGTTTACTCGGAACCCTCGATATGGAATCAATTGCGTTCTAGCTCCTATCATAATTCCACCCAAAACAACTCTCTATTCCAGACCTACAAAGTTTCAAAAAAAAAAACTTTTTTATTCGAAAACCATACTATTAAAATTAACACTACTAATTCGCAAATTTTTCCTTTTCCCAAATATCGTCGCAGAAGTCGCCGTGAATTCAGATATGCTCTCTAAGATATCTGTGCTCGTAGGCCAGCCTCAGGTAAGCAATTTCGAATGATCTGAGTGCTAACTTTAAGTATGAGGCTGCCCACTTTTTTGCTTTTATTGTAGTGGCTTTTATTGTTGGGTCACAGGCTACCAGCAATCTGAAATAGCGCTTCTGATCAGAAGTCAAAACAGTTGAGCGAGTCGGTTAGTTAAATTATCCATGCCGTGGTACCTCTGAAATGTGGCCACGAAACAGGAATGGGGTACAGCACTCTGCGTGCTATTTCTTTCGTGGAAAGTCCTTTTTCGCTCAAAGTTACAATTCGTGCTCGCAAAACTTTTCTATATTTTATAAAAAGAATCTAAAACGAAGAAGAAATTATAACAAAATATACTGTAACAAAAAGATTTCAATTGTTCAAATTTATCGCAAACTTTTTTGATCACCTCAATAATCTGCTTATTAATTATTGTTACAGGATCATAAAGTAGATATTGAAAAGCAAAAGGAACATATTTCGTCAGAATGTAAAAGTGTACATGAAAAACCAATTGAGAAAGATACCGCCCATAATAATTATTTTACAAGTATCAGTTATAAAGAAAAATTGCACAATAACATAATACCGCAAACAAAATTAGACGGTGAAGTCAAATCAATCAACGAATCAATTTTATGTAACAACATTGACAAAGGATCTTTGACTTCGTTAAAAGAAACTGCGTTAATTACTGACAATATCCAAAATATCAGCGCTCAGGTAATTTAAAAGTGTATTCAAATCAAATGCAAGTAGAAATAATCTAAATTCCAAATGTGACTTATCACTCAACCAAAACAACTCATTATCAACAAATTATACTACTTTAGCATAAAAATTTTCCTTACATAAACGTGCAAAACAAATTTTTGTATGAGAGTAAGCTTGGATTGAATTTCTTTTATTTGGAAATCAATTATTGTTTTATATTATTATTTCTTATATTTACGCGAACATTACACATTTAAATAATATTAGTTTTTACGGATTTTATCGCGTATTTTAACTTTTTAAATACTCGACGTTTCGAGCACTTTATAGCACCCATGGTTACGAGGGGGACTGAGATGTTCAACGTCCAGATGTCATAGTTAACCGCGGTTACCATAGATTAAAAATATTAATTTTTGTTCCGGTCTACACAGTATAAACTTCTGGTATCTTGAAGTCTCTCAGTTGTATCCCTGGGTTAGGATTTAATTTTATTAATTATAGGATAGCAGCCCACGCGCATGGTAGCATCCAACCATCTTCTCTATTGAAATAACGATGCTTTTTGATTTCAATAGCATCGCGAATCATCCTCGGAAGGAATCGGTGTTCTTTAACGAGGATTTGTGGTCCATGAAAACTGATGTAGGGGCGGAGGCGATCCTGTACGTGTTCACAGACTGTAGACTTCATGGAGCGTCGATTACTTGACGAAGAGTTGACGCACCGGGATTTAATAAAATTAAATCCCAACCCAAGCATACAACTGCAAGACTACAAGATACTATAAGTTGATACTGCGTAGATCAGAACAAAACTTAATAATTTTAATATATGGTAACCACGGTTAACTTTGACATCTGGAAGTTGAACATCTCTTTCCCCCCGTGACCAAGGGTGCTTTAAAGTGCTCGAAACGTCGGGTTTAAAAAAGTTAATATACGCGACAAAATCGGTAAAGACTAGTATTATTTAAATTGTTTTATATTCTAATTCTATATCTTTAAGTAAAGAATTTAAAAGAAAAAAGAAAAAATTATAATACAGTCTTCTGCAAAAAATAAAATATTTCGATTTTTCAAACTGATCGCAAACGTTTTTTGTTATGTATATTAAATATCTGCATAAAAAATAATACTTAATAATCTGTTGTTTACTCATTATTGTTACAGGATCATAAAGTAGATATTGAAAAGCAAAAAGAACGTATTTCGCCAGAATGTAAAAGTGTACTTGAGAACCCAATTGAGACAAATACCGCCAATAATAATTCTTTTGCAAGAATTAGTGATAAAGAAAATTTGTACAATAACATTATACCACAAACAAAATTGGACGATGAAATCAAATCAATCAATGAACCAATTTTATTTAACAACATTAACAAAGTATCTTTGACTTCGGTAAAAGGAACTAAGTTAATTACTGACAATATCCAAAACATCAGCGATCAGGTAATTCTAAAGGTAATAAAATTAAAATGCCAGTAGACTTATTCTTAATTCTAAATGTGACTTAATACTTAATCCAAACAACTCATTTTCAACAAATCAAACTACTTTAGCAACTGACAATTTTTCCTAACATAAACGTGCAAATCAGGTTTTGGAATGAGCGTAAGCTTTGAATGAATTTCTTTTTATATAGAAAATAATTTAATTTGTTTTATATTGTAATTCTATATTTATAAGTGAATAATTCAAAAGAAGAAGAAATTATAACATAACCTACTGGAACTAAATGGACTTCAATTCAAACTGGTTTATGTATCTGCAGAAAAAATCTTTACATGTTTTCTATTAAAATATACTCAATAATCTGCTTATTAATTATTGTTACAGGATCATAAAGTAGATATTGAAAATCAAAAGGAACATATTCCGCCAGAATGCATAAGTGTAATTGAAAAACCAATTGAGATAGATACCGCCCATAATAATTCTTTTACAAGAATGAGTGATAAAGAAAAAATGCTCAATGACTTTATACCACAAACAAAATTAAACGATGAAGTCAAATCAAACCAAGAATCAATTTTATGTAACAACATTAAAAAAAGTATCTTTGATTTCAATAAAAGAAGCTACGTTAATTACTGATAATATCCAAAACATCAGCGATCAGGTAATTTAAAACGTTACCAAATTAAAATGTCAGTAGACTCATTCTAAATTCCAAACGTGACTTAACACTGGACCTAAACAACTCATTGTTAACTAATGTAACTACTTTAGCAACTGACAATTTTCCTAACATAAACGTATAAGTCAGATTTTTGAATGAGCTTAAACTTGGATTAAATTTCTATTAATGCAGAAAACAATTGAATTTGTTTCATTGTTTTAAATTCTAATTCTATATTTTATAAAAAGAATCTAAAAGGAAGAAGAAATTATAACAAAGTCTACTGTAACAAAAAAGGTTTCAATTTTTCAAACTTTTCGCAAACTGTTTTGATGTGTATATTATATATCTGCATAAAAACACGTTGACTATACTCAATAATCTGCTTATTAATTATTGTTACAGGATCATAAAGTAGATATTGAAAATCAAAAGGAACACATTCCGCCAGAAAGTATAAGTGTACTTGAAAAACCAATAGATACCGCCCATAATAATTCTTTAACAAGAATCATTGATAAAGAAAACTTGCAAAATAATATTATACCACAAACAAAATTAGAACAAGATGAAGTCAAATCAATCAACGAATCAATTTTATGTAACAACATTAACAAAGTATCTTTGACTTCGGTAAAAGAAGCTACGTTAATTACTGATAATATCCAAAACATCAGCGATCAGGTAATTTGAAACGTAACCAAATTAAAATGTCAGTAGACTCATTCTAAATTCCAAATGTGACTTAACACTAAACCCAAATAGCTCATTGTAAACAAATGAAACTACTTTAGCAACTGAGAATTTTCCTAACATAAACGTATAAGTCAGATTTTTGAATGAGCTTAAACTTGGATTAAATTTCTATTAAAACAGAAATAATTGAATTTGTTTTATTGTTTTAAATTCTAAATCTATATTTTTTAAAATTATAACAAAGTCTACTGTAACAAAAAAGGTTTCAATTTTTCAAACTTTTCGCAAACTGTTTTGATGTGTATATTATATATCTGCATAAAAACACGTTGACTATACTCAATAATCTGCTTATTAATTATTGTTACAGGATCATAAAGTAGATATTGAAAAGCAAAAGGAACATATTTCGCCAGAAAGTATAAGTGTAATTGAAAAACCAATAGATACCGCCGATAATAATTCTTTTACAAGAATCAAAGATAAAGAAAAATTGTACAATTATATTATACCACAAACAAAATTAGAACAAGATGAAGTCAAATCAATCCAAGAATCAATTTTATTCAACAACATTAACAAAGTGTCTTTGACTTCACTAAAAGAAACTACGTTAATTACTGACAATATCCAAAACATCAGCGATCAGGTAATTCGAAAAGTAATCAAATTGAAATGCCAGTTGACCTAATCTAAATTCCAAATGAGACTTGACACTTCACCAAATCTATATTTTTTAAAATTATAACTCTCATTATCAACAAATGAAACTACTTTAGCAACTGACAATTTTCCTAACATAAACGTGCAAGTCTGATTTTTGAATGAGCGTTAGCTTGGAATAATTTTTTTTATATTAATTTTTTATTAAATAAAAAGAAATTCATATAAAATTATATGAATTTCTTTTTATATTGATATTTTTTATATTGAAAACAATTTAATGTGTTTTATTGTTTCATATTCTAATTCTATGATTAAGAAAAGTATCTAAAAAGAACAAGAAATTATAACATAGACTACTGTAACAAAAAGATTTCAATTTTTCAAACTGATCGCAAACTTTTTTTGATGTGTTTATTATATAAAAAAGCTTCACATGCTTACTTTCAAACGATACTCGATAATCTGCTAACTAATTATTGTTACAGGATCATAAAGTAGATATTGAAAATCAAAAGGAACATATTTCGCCAGAATGTATAAGTGTAATTGAAAAATCCATTGAGATAGATACCACCAAAAATAATTATTTTACAAGAATGAGTGATAAAGAAAAATTGCTCAGTGACATTATACCACAAACAAAATTAAACGATGAAGTCAAATCAAACCAAGAATTAAATTTATTTAACAACATTAACAAAGTATCTTTGACTTCGGTTAAAGAAGCTACGTTAATTACTGACAATATCCAAAACATCAGCGATCAGGTAATTTAAAACGTTACCAAATTAAAATGTCAGTAGACTCATTCTAAATTCCAAATGTGACTTAACACTGGACCTAAACAACTCATTGTTAACTAATGTAACTACTTTAGCAACTGACAATTTTCCTAACATAAACGTATAAGTCAGATTTTTGAATGAGCGTTAGCTTGGAATTATTTTTTTATATAGAAAACAATTTAATTTGTTTTATTGTTTTATATTCTAAGTCTATATTTTAAGAAAAGTATGTAAAAAGAAGAAGAAATTATAACATAGACTACTGTAACAAAAAGATTTCGATTTTTCAAACTGATCGCAAACTTTTTTTGATGTGTATATTATATGAAAAAAGCTTCACACGTTTACTTTTAAACGATACTCAATAATTTGCTTATTAATTATTCTTGCAGGATCATAAACTAGATATTGTAAAGCAAAAGGAACATGTTTCACCAGAATGTAAAAGTGTACTTGAAATACCAATTGAGACAGATACCGCCCATAATAATTCCTTAACAAAAATCATTGATAAAGAAAACTTGCAAAATAACTTTATAACACAAACAAAATTAGACCATGAAGTCAAATCAATCAACGAATCAATTTTATGTAACAACATTGACAAAGGATCTTCGACTTCATTAAAAAAAACTACGTTAATTACTGACAATATCCAAAATATCAGCGATAAGGAAATAAAAAATATAATCAAGTCAAATACCAGTAGAAATAATCTAAATTCCAAATGTGACTTATCACTCAACCAAAACAACTCATTATCAACAAATGAAACTACTTTAGCAACTGAAAATTTTCCAATTATAGACGAGCAAGTTATTCAAAATATCACAATACCAAAAGTCAACGGGGACCAAACACATTCCAAAAGTGCTTTGTCTCTAAATAAAAGCAACTTATATCCTACAAAAGAAAAAACTTTATTTCCTTATCATATACAAGAAATCAGAGATCGGGCAATTCAGAATATCTCGATGTCACAATCAACAACAAAAAGTGAATCTCTTGCTTATTTGCACAAGAATGAAGACATTTTACCTTTTACAAAAAATACTACATTAGACACTAGCAATCTTGAAATCGTTGAAGATCAAATAATTCAAAATAAGAGACAGACAATAGACCAAATACATCTGATTCCTAATAAAAACAACGCTACTCCAACAAAAGAAACTTATTTAGATTCTAATAATGTTAAAGGCATTAGTGACAAGGTTATTCAAAATATCGATACATTAAAACCCAATAGAAGACTAACAGATTTTAAAAGTGGCTTGCCTGATAACCAAAGCGACTTTATTCCGACAAGAGAATCAAATCTGGTTTACGGCAATGTTCAAAACAACAGCGATATATCAATCAATCAATCAATGAGCGATCAAGCAATTCAAAGTATTCCTATACTACAAGCCAATAGAAGCCAAATAAATTCCAAAAGTGACTTATCTTTAAAACAAAGCAAATTGACCCTGACAAAAGACAGTAACTCTCAATACTTCAGTGATCAGACATCTCAAAACATCAACATATTAAGACTCAATAGAGACGAAATTAATTCCAAAAGTGATTTGCTTCAAAATAAAGAAATCTTTACTCCGATCAAAGGCACTAACTTTGATAAGCACAATTTTCAAACAATCAGTTATCAAGCAATTCAAAATATCACAACACCACAATCAAATAGAAACGAAATAAAAAGTGATTTGTCTCCAAATGAAAGCAATGTAATTTCGTCAAGAAAAACTACCTCAGTTGAAAGCAATGTTCAAAACATCAGAGATCAAGTTAATAAAAAAATAGATTTAAAAAGTGATTTGTCTGTAAATGAAAGCAACTTAACTTCGACAAGTGAAACTACTTTAGAGAAAAGTAATATTCAAAATATCGCTGATCAATCAGTTCAAATGATCACAAAATCAAATGGAAACAAAAATCAAATGTACTCTTCAAGTAAGATATTGCTTAACAAAGGTAATTTAAGCCTGTTAAAGTCAACTACATTACTTAATAACGATATACAAAACATCAGCTATCAGGCAATTCAAAATATCGCACAGTCACAGACCAATAGAAACCAAATTGATTCCAATAAGGACTCATCCATCGACGAAACATCTTTAATTTTAACAAGCCTTAATAAAATAGAAAAATTACAAAGAAAAACGGTTGGTACAAAAAATATTTCACCTAAAATAAAACCAAAAACCTCTTTCAACGAAGAAAATGACAAAAAAATTAGCTTGAAGGAAACTTCACAAAATAATTTACAAGGGGCAATTGAAGTTCAATTCAAAAATAATGTTTCTGCTACAAACGAAGATAATAATAATATAAAACAAAGTACGCACAAGACAAATATAGTGAAAGATATTATTTACCTTGATTTGAAGTTCCAAACTTGCGGCGTTGATAAAAATAAAAATGTTGTTAGAACATTAGACACGGCTTTGTTTGATAATAGCTACCAATTGCTAGGCGATAATATTTTGCATATCAAGACCTTAATAAGAGTGGATGACAATGAAATTAGAATACCAATTGATGCAGACAAAGATTTATCCCTAAAAATTACAAAACCAAAAGGAAAATTCTCTCATAAAAATCGCATGAATGGTAATTTATCAGACCCACGTAATATGCTATCTTCCAAACAAAAGTCAGGTTAGTTTGAGGCCGCTACTCTTAATATTAAACACTTTATTTACCTCACACACTAAATGTACTGGAAAAATAATCATTGACTACCCTTTTACATGAGTTATTATTAAGTTATTAGTCGACAATTCCATAAAAATAAATTGATGAAAAAGTTATAACTTACGATATTATCGCAGTTTGCTATGCTATATTATAAACGCAATGTAAATATCTTAAAAAATATGATATATATCCCTACAGTCGATGATTGGTGATCGCAGTACCGAACGTCAACCGCCTTTGATGCTGCTCCCTGTCATTAGTTGGGTATTTTAGGCCTGAAATAATCTACCTTAAATACTCCCAATTTCAATTCCACCTAAATGTGGAAAACATGCGATTCTGCGATTATAACGTAAAAAGTTAAAAGTTAAATTCTAACACCAGTTTATAAGAATATAATAATGTTATACTAACATCTCTATGGACTAAGTCTGAATAAAAATATATTATAACAAGTAACTAAGTGAAAACCTTAAATCTATTTGTGGAATACTTGCAGGCTTTTTTTTACTTACAAAACTTTATTTTATAGCAATATTAAAAATGTTTTAGATGAAATCGGCGTGTTTTTAAACAATCAACGAATTAATAAAACTGTAAATGCAAAGGTTTCAACCAAAATTAAAGACAGTACAAAAAGTGCAGAAAATTTGCAAGATACTTTATGCAGCATCTATCAAGAAAAACTACTCCCGTTACACGAGACTCTAAGGAATTTAATAGGAGATGTAGACGGATTAGCTGAACAACAATCAATTATAATAGACAAATTACACAAAGAGAACGAAATTCAAGCAAACAGAATCCCTAATAAAAATAAAGCATGCGGTTGCAATTCAAATTATAATATTAAAGTAATTAATAGCTTAAATTAATAATTGACAACATTATTATGGCGTCCGTCCTATAGAATATAAATTAATAATATTAGCGTTATTATCACATTTATAATATAATAAGATTATATTAATCACATTATCAAATAAATTGTGAAGGAAACGTGAAGTAAAATGGTATGAATGTTATTACAAATGCGTAATATAATTAATCTAAGCAGATATTTTCTTGTAATACATCAACAATCGTATTTTGTGGTAGAATTAAGGATCTTGAAGGGTTTAACTTGTTTTCTTTGGCTGAAATTGAATTTTTTAACTACAGTTTTTCGTTTGTAAATTGCTCATTAAAGATTCTACGTTTTAAACCACACCACTTTCTATTTTTTTCTTGTTAATTATGGAGACTACAACTTCGTCCTGTTCTGCCTGCGATATCAGTATCACAAGCTTATACATAAGCATTATATCTTGCCCGATTAGTTTAGGGCGATTATTATTTTTATAGTTATTGCTACTACAAAAAAAAAAGATTGGAATATTTGTATGGTTTTCCGCTATTATTACTAATATAATAAATAACTGATAGACCTCGGGCAGATATGGGGTCACCATACCGTTCCGTAGGTGTCTTAAGCGACGGCAGAAGGAAACTAAAGTAGAAATTGGGTACATGCATCTTTCTGATAACCATACCTACAATTATATTGGGGTTTGATGAGGTAAAGGTTCACTGCTGAACATAGGCCTCCCTCATTGATTGCCTCATTGAGAGGAAAAAGCTGCAGTTGCCAACCCGCCTACAAAGCGTGGCAACTAAGGCAAGATTTCAAGAAGAGTTGGCCTATGTTCCCGAATTTATTGGCTGTAATGGATGGAATATAATATCTTACTCGTTGGATGTTGCCCCAGGTTACAATCCCAGACCGGACTAAAATAAGTATTTTTTGTCTCCAAATTCCCATTAGCAGTCTGGAATTTGGAAGTTATGTTTCACTACCGTGCCTCGGAAAGCACATAAAGCAGTGGTTTAGATCCTGGATCCTGGATATTTCCGATCGTGTCGGATTACCGTCACATTTTTCGGGATACATCATCGGAGTATGAAAGTGAGGGAATAGATAGTGCACCTGTCTTTTCGTATACACTTAAGCACTGTTATTATGTCCTGCTCTCTTGAGATTGTCCACCGAAACTCAAATTCGGTCTGGATGTCATTACACTGATGCCAAATTAGTGATGTTTGAAATTTTGTCTTTTTCCGTTTGTCTTTATGTGTCATAGATTAGTAGTATACGTACGAGGGTCGTTTAAGGTATTCCCGGTATGAGGGTGATTTTCTAATAACGTGGGTAATTTAAAAAAACATTAGCTAACGACCCTACCTGATGGTATAAATATGAAGTTTCGTCTTGATAACTGGCCACACCTGACATGTTATTGTATCAACTAGTACTGTGCAAATAGCCGCCACGTGCTTATGACTTTGACTATTTTTGTCAGAAAAAACTATTTCTTTGTAGTATTCCTAGAGAAAATTGATAATTATATGATAATAATGAGCGGCAGGAGATCTACTATTTGGACTTATTTTAGAGAGACTGATGACCAAAACAAAGTGAAATGTACTAATGTAATGTAATGTTTCTTTGTTCGGTTCCAAAAACATTTTATCAAGCGTTATATTTGCTATACTTGGAAATAAATCTACAATGCCTAAAAGACATTACGCTATACAAGTAGATTTAACCCATAAATACAATATACTTTCAATAGTTAAATTATGAAAGACATGGCATTACTCAATTCGTACATTTCAATACACTGGACACCTTGAGTAGCACTTCAACGTATGTTCGGTGATTTAGCCGAATAATCGGCTGAATAAGAATATTCGGTAAAGATACCGAATATGCCGAATACCGATATGAAAAGAATATTCGGCCCATCCCTAATTGTAAGTTTATAAGATTGTAAAATGCAAAGCGTAAACTTACTACCAAGCTACGGTTGTCAGGTCTTTAAACCGAAAAACCGGACAGACCATCCAGATTAGCTGGACATTTTGATAAAAAGGCCGGACACCCTTAATTATTCAGTCTTAGTATAACACGATAATATATTTTTTAAAGTAAAACAATGCTTATATCTCTTACCATAAAATCTTAAATTAAAATTGAATGAATCAGTGTTCTTTATTATTTAATCATTCAATATTTCAAAAAAACATCCATGAAGAAATGGTAGCCGTTTACCAAGACTGCTCCTTCAATTCAACCGGGCAGAAGTGGTCAAGTGAATTCAATAGAGTCAAGGGAAAGCATCGAAGATGAAACTCGCCGGGGTGGCCCATTCACGACGGCTACAGAAGAAAATGTAAAAATTATTAAAAAACTTGTACTAGAAGATGCACGAGTAAAAATGAAGATGTTAGCAGAAATGACTAACTATCCGTTGGCACCATATTGCATATGCATATGTGACCTCACAAATGTCAGTGCAAGATGGGTGCCGGGAATGATCACTGCGCTTCTAAAGCAAGCACGGGTTGACTGTTAGAGGGAGTTCTTAGAGCTGTGTGGTGACGACCCCACAAGTGTTTACGAAAGGATAGTAACAGGAGATGAAACGTGGGTTCACCACTGACCCTGAGAGTAAACAGGATTCTATGCAATAGCATAAAAAGGAATCGGACCCCCAAGAAGAACACAAAAAATAATTTATATTTATATAAAACTACAAAATTCTATTAACAACTTATATTATTCGCAGTTGAAGCATCGAGCGTGATGTACACCGATACATGGGAGAACGTATTTTTCTCTGAAATGTCAAGGTGATACCTCGAAAATTTGGTGGTTTTTCTATTTAACACATATTTTTAGGTTTTATAAATTACAAACCAAAATTTTGGTATATGATTTTTGACTGTATGATCTTGGATTGCATAAAAGGAAAACACGAGATCATGTTATTTTCTCGATAGAAAAAAAATTACAAAGTAGACTAATTATTTTTATTTCTCGATGACACCACAATATTGTTACGAATAATTTCATGGAATTATTTTTAAGGCATAGCAAATAATCATATCTAAGTTCTCATAAACCAGTTTTTTAATCCATAACGAAGTTTCGTTAAAATAAATAAAAATGTTGTTTGGCACTTACTTAGATTTTTTCCGAGCGCTTGCTCAGTATGGCTATCTCATAATTTACGTACTTTCATTTTTACACTCCCGCAGTCCCGCTTCACCGACAAAGGAATAAGCCACGCCCTCAAAACTTCGATTCATTTTCAAGGTATCCTCTTAATTATAGATGTTCGTGGATGCTTCTTAATCGATGACCAGTCAAAACCCCTCGCGCTAGTTGTCACAGTTGCAATCTGGCGAGTCTTCCAGTTTCTTACTCGTCGATCTAAGTCACACTACGTTGGGTTCGAGACAACGAAGTGGACGCACCCTTCGATAACGCCTATTTCAGAAACACACACGCCTCTTCTTAAAAGGTGGTTGATGCCTGAGATTACGGGTCCACGCTAGGTCCCAGTCAAGAAATCAAATATGTGGACTGTATATTTTCTTCACTTTCCCTAACTTTAGGGTCAACACTGGGAATGAAACAGTGGCACGCAGTTAACTTCCGCTTCTTGGTAAGCTAAAGTTTGTGGGGGAGTTCCTCCCCTCGGCGCCCCGTGGAGACAGGGTGTGAGGAGAGTTCTAGTTGTTTATTAAGAGTAGTATGCAGAAGCAATGCCGCTGTCTCCACATCTTCTTGGGTGGTCATAGAGGCGCCGAGTCGGAGGTCCTCCAGTGCTTTGCGGAAGCGTGCCCAGTTCATCCGCATTTTTGGACCTCTGGGCAATTACTGGGCACTACGGCGTCCGCATCGGTGTCTATGGTGGACAACACGGGGAGGTGCTGCGTGTCTGGTGATCATACAGCACCTCTAACCGTATTCAGTTCGCCTCGGACCACGCTAGCGAGCGGACGTGCCTAATTTCGCTCCGTGAATTAGTGAATAAAGTTTACGTGTTGCCAGTTGACGACTCCGCCGGAACTTTGAGATCACTCCGTGAGGCGTTGAGGCGTCGCTGGCATTCTCCGAGACGGATTAAAAGGTAAGTGAGCACAAAGAACTCAACCTTTGTTGCCCTGCTTTTTGTGTGAACTACCCACATTTTTGTTTTAACTTTTATTTTAAAAGTGTTAACAAAGTGATGTGAACGCCCAAACCCATCTACGCCTCACACACCCCTCCCCGCTCGCGGGCGCCTCGCTGGGCCTCCTCCACGGGTCTCACCCGGTGTGGTTGCACGCGCCGAGGGGGAGTAAGGTGTGTGATAGCTAATAAGGGCAAAGTTCTTATACCTATCCTACCCGTTTTTAAATTTTATAACTACCCGTTTTTTTTGTTTTTTTTTATACCGCGAGTGATATAAAATTACCCACGTTATGTCTGACAAAGGGGAACCACCCCGACTCGCAGACAGACAGGCGCCCGGGCGTGCTTGACAGGCCTCTCATGGAGCGTGACCACTTCGCTCCAAAGAGGTCATGAGTAATGCCCCCATACAGCCAAATCCCGAGGTGTAAAGGAGTGGAGCCCACCGGCCACTGGCGTCGCGCTCGGCGCTGGCGGAGCTGAGCCTCCACCTATCGCCCAACCGGCACCCTACCTCGCCGAAACATCGCCTCGCGAAGACGTACCCCCAAAACCGGAAGAGGAAGATCTGCAGGAGGATAAAAGGCTGAAGGCCGGTTCGGACTCGGTATCCGAGTCGGCATCAGCCTCAACCTCTGCCTCCACCTCGAAAGACACACCTACTCCACCGCAAAAACAGCCGGTGACGAGGCATAACTCGCCACCGGAGTCACCATCTCCCACTACCTCCCTTACCTGCATGCAATCTGAGATGCAGGAATTCGGGGAGCAGGACCCAGAAGGGGAGAAACCCTCCGATAGCACATCTTACGCCACCCTTGCCACAACGCAAGAGGAAGTGGCATTTGAACCCACTCCTGGACCATCCTCGGC